AAAGGAGGTGTGACGTTGAATAAACAAAATTGATGGAAATTGATGCAGCATTGTGATCATTCTTTTTCTGTCGTTTTTTCTCTTCATCGTCTTTGAGTTATAAAAGTCAATTCCAAAAATAGAAAATAATTAGGTGTTATATTTTGAGATTGATAAAGAAGATGAAAAGCAAAGTGGCGCAGGGGGAGCGCGGTGGGCTCATAACCCACAGGTCCTAGGATCGAAACCTAGCTTTGCTATCTTCTTTTGGGTTTTTATTGATTGGGTATACTCATGCCACCTTTCCCATTCCTTCGTCAATGCCATCACAGCCTCAAATTGCAACCCAGTCTTCTTATAACCCTTCTCTAGTTCTATTTCATACCCCTTTCCAAGTGATGGAAAAGATGAAAACAGAGGGTGTTCGAAAGTCAAAGCTTACAGTCGATCAAATGATTGTTCTTTCATTGTTTGCAGGTATCTTTAAAGGAGTGTGTAAGTAACGAATGGAGCCTTTCTTTTAACCACCTTGATTAATTTTCTAACTAATGGAAACCCCTTATCAAGATGTATCTTTTGGGTGATAAAGATGATATGAACAGCACTCTCTTGAAAGTGAATCATAGAAAAGTAACAGACTTCAAACCATCAGATGTTTAACTCAATCTTCCTACTGTTATGTAGCTTTGTAATTACAGAATTAGAACCATGAATGGCTACGGCCATATCACGATGAATGCACCTCATCCCATCCGATTTGAGAAGTTAAGCATCGTCGAGCTGCATCAGTACTGAGGTTGGAGACAACTTGGGAACCTGCAGTGCTGTAGCCTTTTTTTTTCTTGTCAACCTCACTTTTTGAGAAATAGTATATTAATTCCGTGTCATCAATCTTTTGTATTGTCGAACAATATTTGTTCCTTGGCGGTACTTTGCTCGAGTAAATACAACACTCCTGCTCACAATTCTTGTCCAACAACAAAGATAAATTACAAACAAAGGCTTGCGCTTTTGTCACTCACAGTTCATACAGTCAAAGACTGTAGCGGGAGTGTCGCCATATTCCTGGCAGGCATCCCGTCCAAAACATGATTCAATAAGAGAAAAAGGGTGGTCCTGCATGTATTGGTGAAGAGAGTAACCATTTGGAATTCGGGCGTTCCAAATTAGGAACTATCACGAATGTGAATTCTCAAACAAAAAAAATGATGACCAAAGCACCTCGTTCAACCTTTCGTTGTAAATAATGTGAAATTATCATAAATTTTTTTTCGAATTTAAATTTCTAAAATTTAAAGAAAAAAAATGGCATCCAAAGAAGGCTCATCGTCGATTGATTTTTTCACGTATTTGATCGGAAAGTGGAAGAGAAATTTGGAATGGAGAGAATTTGGTGGAATTTGTATGTTGAAATTTCTGTTGATTTTATTTGTATACGAATTCATGAAATTTGCCAAATCGGAATTTTAAAAATCATTTATAATTATTGAAACTATTTGAAATGATGAATGCACCACATTCAAATGATAGATCAACATTTATCAACAAGTAATACATTTCTTCAATTTGAGGAAAATACCAAATACGAATCCACCTACCTTTCAGAATCGTCCTCCACCACCAATACTACCACACCAAATCATCGTTATGCTCGTTTCTCGTTTGGAAATTCACCTCAAGACATGAAATTTGCCTATGAAATGATCTTTCAACCACTCATCTCTTCATCCACAACTAGTTCCTCCTCTTCAACGACGACGACGACAAATCATAGACTTTCACAACAAACGCAAGCTCAACAAGAAATTCAACATTTTCAATGGAAATATCTTGGAAATATTTGTAAGGGAGAGTTTTATCCTTTAAATAAT